CAGGAGATTGGATGCTCGCAAAGATCATTTCTTTAGACCTATTTAAACGTGTCAAATGCATTTATTCTGACTGCTTCTTTATATTCAACTCGCTATAAAGTGTTAGAGGTACTACCGTTAGAAAATGTGTTCACAAAACATGATCTAAGTTGCACCATAAAACATCAGTGAACTGCTTTTGATCAATGTTTTCGTCTAGATGGTTGTGTCGGAATTATACTAATGACGCTTCCATTATCGTTAACCGTATCATTACATGAGGCAAACTCCTCGACCATTCAGATGATAGTTGCCATCACAAGTCTATTAGCTAGAAATCCGCATCAGGAGCCATTCAGTACAGGAACCGAAGCGAACGGCGGTGAGACAAGAGCTTTCTGTCATGGACGACTTGTGTACGACCACACATTTGCCACATTGCGTACGTGTCGGTCACAATCAATACTGTCGTGTTATCAGTTTGTACCTTCAAATATCCGATTCATCAAAAGTGCTTAGATACCGCAGTAATACTTCGAAGAGTTCAGTGAAACTATAATAACCCAATATAATATTCGAATATTTTTTTCCATTAAGTGGCATTTTTCAAGGCAGAACATTAAAAACAAATAATCAAAATTTGTCTCAAAAAAGTTTGATTCATAAATGGAATTTCGAAAGAGCTATATAAAGAAAAAGATTACGAACTGTGCTATACGTTTGACGAATCGACAAATTCGAAACTACAAAGTTCAATTTTAATATGTTTGTTGATTGAAGTCAAATTAACGAAACTTTGTATCAGACATCCGGACATTTAATATGCAATCACAACATTCAAATACACACTCGATTTCTGTGTTTATCGCCGGTAAACATACGTGGATGTCCATTAAACAACTAATTCAATAATCCAGTCGGAATAAAGGAAGTTAAATATCCGGCTTCCATAAGACCACGGGAATTCTGTTGTTTCAAAAGTGCATCGTATTTCGCTAATTTCTTTTTTTAGTCATGACGCTCAGTATCGTTTACGTATAGTCACGTGTAATTGTAAGATATACCGCTAGATCAATAAAATAAAGTCGAGTGTTAACAACTGATATTAGTGTATAATGAAGCTAGATTGTGCGTAAACGTTCGATATAGAATAACGAAGATTAATCGAGTGTAGCAGTTCGATAGAGTTCCTTTAATGGGATTAATCTATGCGCTTAGCTCCGATCGATATGCATTCGTTACTGAGCACCTTTAGGGATTTTGAAGCACTGCGTCTTTTAGCTATACATTACAGCCATTGACACATTAAGCTGAAATTTAAATATCGTTAGTTCAATATTACTAAATATTAAACATTTATCGTATACCGATTTAAAAGTGTCATTATAAAAAAAAAAACATGAATAGTTTGGCTTTGGTTCTATTTTGTTTTACAGCCTTTTAATATTTAATTGATTAATGACAGCTAAGATAATCAAAGGAGTTGCCTCCATGTGTGTTGTGTAAACGGGTATGTGTGCTGGAGAAACGGTGTGTTGTTGTACTTGTCTCCATGTGATAGCGCGGATCGGATGCCGTCTTTAAAGTGCTATCCCACTAAAATACCATGCCGAAGGCACCCAGGACAGCATTCCACCCGGTCACATTGTATACTGACAACGGGTGAACAAGTCGTTGTCATTACTCGTAATGCTGAAGATATTGACAAAAAAAAAAAAAAAAAAAAAAAAAAAAATTAAATGCCAATAAACGTGTTAGTATACTGTACTATATTATGAAAACATTTAGTTTGACATGACTGAAATTGTCACGGTAGTGGTTATGCGATTGGTCTCAATGGAAAAGGGCATGTTCTTCTAAATTGTACCCACCTCTTCAGGACGGTCACAGAATACAAGCGTAGATTCTTCACCATCAAGCAGCACCGTTATCATCTTGTCTTCTTCAAGGTCAACTGAAACAGAAATCAATCACGGTCAAATAACAGCGTGCATATTGTTACAGAGTATCGATCACGTGATAATGTATATATGATATTATTAGCTACGGTTTGTAGAAAATGTCGCTATTTGCATATTTTCAGTAACCCTGTCAAAAATGCGATGCCACGCAAACGGACTCCACCACAAGCTCTTACCAACCACCACACGAAGGGATTAACGACTCAGAAGGCTTTTCCCTACCAAGGTTACATGATGATGAAATGAATAAACTGAGGATGACATATAGGCGTACACTGTAAAATAGAATAACAAAAATACAACAACCGCGTTTAGGACATTTCACATGCCCGTCCTGTTGCTACGTTAGTGGTAAACCTTACAGGTTAACTTATCATATCATCTTTAATTCCGAAAACAGTTAAGACACAAGATTCATGAACAGTATCCTTAAATGAGCAACGTTAGATTTCATGGCCCTGCGTATTTACGACACAACTAACATAGAGAGGAAACAGAAGTCAAGTAGCGTGCGCGTCGTTTGTTAGTGACATGTTCATGACATGTCCCCTCGTTATGTCGGGCCTTAAACTGGAAAAATGCAGTCTTTGGAATTCACCAGCTTGATCGATACAATAAAAGATTCGGAAAGAAAAAAGTATAGTCAGCATTAAAAATATCGTAGCTGAAGCATTTTAAACGTATAAAATGATATGTATCCCAAGAAGGGACCGAACCAAGTATTAAATATTACTGTTGACTAGTCTATGACAAATTAATCATGCTTATAAGTAAGTTGTATATAAGAAGTTAACAAAGCCTAGCTGGCGTTAGAGTGCCTCCCTCGTCTTACCAGCCCTCACCAATGGGCCTAATTAGGGACGAACGTCTGTAGTATGATTAGCTTTTTTCACGAAGAAATCAGGTTACGATCAGTTTGACTCAAAGATAATTGGAAATACTGTACGCGAATTCTGAAAATAAATCGATTTTCTTCTTTACAACAATGTATATACTTAATCGTGTTGCAGAATACCCGGCCTAATTCAAGGCTTTCGAAACACTCGACGTAATCGTCAAAAGTGGTTATTTGGTAGCATGAAGTACAAGCAGAAAGCCAGCACAGATCCAAACGAATGTCGCTCTTTATGGTACAACGTCGTTACCGTCTGATGCACTGGAACACATCGTAATACAAACTCCTAAGATATCATGTTGTAAAAGGTTTGAGTAATAAATTACAAGAAAAGAAAAAAAGCTGAAATCGTACAACATTACACATTCAGTTGTCAATCAATAGCTGTTAGAATATTCAACGCTTTTTTCATTTATGCGTATATGTATTCTAGTACAACATCAGGTAATCTGACATTTTTCAGTTGAAATAGTATGATGCCGTTGCTGGGTTATGACAGAGTATGACAAAGCATTATGGAGTATGTGTGAACGGTATAATACACATTGTCTGTATAAGAAAATGGTATAGTAACATACTGTCTGTGTCAGAAAACGGTATAGCAACATCCTGTCTGTGTCAAAGAACGGTAAAGTAACATACTGTCTGTGTCAGAAAACGGTATAGCAACATACTGTCTGTGTCAGAAAACGGTATAGCAACATACTGTCTGTGTCAGAAAACGGTATAGCAACATAATGTCTGTGTCAAAGAACGGTAAAGTAACATACTGTCTGTGTCAGAAAACGGTATAGCAACATACTGTCTGTGTCAGTAAACGGTATAGCAACATACTGTCTGCGTAAGAGAACGGTATAGCAACATACTGTCTGCGTCAGAGAACGGTATAGCAACCTAATGTCTGTGTCAAAGAATGGTAAAGTAACATACTGTCTGTGTCAGGGAACGGTGCATCAACAAAATGTCTGTGTCAAAGAACGGTAAAGTAACATACTGTCTGTGTCAGGGAACGGTGCATCAACAAAATGTCTGTGTCAAAGAACGGTAAAGTAACATTCTGTCTGTGTCAGAAAACGGTATACCAACCTACCGTCTGTGTAAGAGAAAAGAAGAGAAACATACTATCTGTGTCAGAGAACGGTACATCAACAAGTCTGTGTCAGAAAACGGTATAGCAACATTCTGTCTGTGTCAGTAAACGGTATAGCAACATACTGTCTGTGTCAGTAAACGGCATAGCAACATACTGTCTGCGTAAGAGAACGGTATAGCATCATACTGTCTGTGTCAGAAAACGGCATAGCAACATACTGTCTGTGTAAGAGAAAAGAAGAGAAACATACTGTCTGTGTCAGGGAACGGTGCATCAACAAAATGTCTGTGTCAAAGAACGGGATAGTGACATACTGTCTGTGTCAGAGAACAGTACATCAACAAAATGTCTGTGTAAAAGAACGGTATAGTAACATACTGTCTGTGTCAAAGAACGGTAAAGTAACATTCTGTCTGTGTCAGAAAACGGTATACCAACATACTGTCTGTGTCAGTAAACGGGATAGCAACATACTGTCTGTGTCAAAAAACGCGATAGCAACATACTGTCTGTGTAAGTAAACGGTATAGCAACATACTGTCTGCGTCAGAGAACGATATAGCAACATAATGTCTGTGTCAAAGAACGGTATAGTAACATACTGTCTGTGTCAGAAACCGGTATAGCAACATACTGTCTGCGTCAGAAAACGGTATAGCAACATCCTGTCTGTGTCAAAGAACGGTAAATTAACATACTGTCTGTGTCAGAAACCGGTATAGCAACATACTGTCTGCGTCAGAAAACGGTATAGCAACATCCTGTCTGTGTCAGAAAACGGTATACCAACATACTGTCTGTGTCAGTAAACGGTACAGCAACATACTGTCTGCGTAAGAGAACGGTATAGCATCATACTGTCTGCGTCAGAGAACGATATAGCAACATAATGTCTGTGTCAAAGAACGGTAAATTAACATACTGTCTGTGTCAGAGTACGGTATATTAACATACTGTCTGTGTCAGAGAAAAGAAGAGAAACATACTGTCTGTGTCAGAGAACGGTACATCAACAAAATGTCTGTGTCAAAGAACGGTATAGTGACATACTGTCTGTGTCAGAGAACGGTACAGCAACATACTGTCTGTGTCAGAGAACGGTACATCAACAAAATGTCTGTGTCAAAGAACGGTATAGTAACATACTGTCTGTGTCAAAGAACGGTAAAGTAACATACTGTCTGTGTCAGGGAACAGTATAGTAATATACTGTCTGTGTCATAAAACGGTATAGGAACATAGCATCAACAATATATAGTTATCGAACAGGCACAGTGTTGTCTGTAAACATGTGTCGTTTCTTTTGGAAAATAAAACTGTTTGAGTCTAACCGGCAACTTTTTGACCTTATCCCTAACTCCCAAACATTAGCTATTTTATGATACTATTACGAATCACTGTCATTTCTTAAAAGCTTTAAGGTATGCTGCAAGTTTGAAACTTTCGAAAATCTATCGGGAACCTTATCTCACGATTTACCAGTGGTTAAGCGTCATATTATATACGATGTAGTACTGAAATTATAATCCGGTTAAATGAGCTATTTTCCGATACATAGCATCTATCCGTTAATGAAAGACATTTCAGATATGTCCATCGTTAGCGATGTAAGGACATTTTGCATTGGTCAATAAGCTGTGTTATTGGACATCAATATTTGTGAGAGTCTTCCCAATAAACCTTATACATTTACAAGCAAAGCTCTCCCGAAATCCTCCATCGACGCAGAAAGCCAAATTAAACTTTTTTTCAATAGCACTTTATGGTAATTTGTCTTTTTCGGAATTGGCAGTGGTAAATCAATGTCTTAAGCGTTCCGAAATAAGTGTGGCGATAGAAAAATGTGTATACAAAGCTCAGTATAACGTTACAACAGATAATTCATTCTAAACTACCGTTCTATTACAAACAAAAATCCATCTATAAGGTTGCAGCCTATATCGAGGGCTAAAGGCCCATTAGCAGTGTCAACCACCTTGTAGGATTGAACAATAACTAGATGCAAGGTTATGACTGTCTCGTTTCCCGACAGACGGGGAATACCCTATAACATGTCGAACACTGACGATATGTATGCTGAAAGGCGTTATTGTATAAGAGTAAAGGCCTACTACAGAGAACACCAATACCGCGAGGAAGACATTTGTATGTATATACTACAGTGCAGGACCGATATTGTTATCGTATCATCATTTGATCAGGAAATGATCCTAAATAGAAACTTAGCAATGACATCATGAAGGCAACCACGACACCTACCAGTTGAGATAAACATGATTAGTTGGTTCTGTTATGCACACACTGTCTATTGAAGCTTTACTTGAAGCTTCATATTGTAATGCAACAATGGTGTCCGCAACGAATGAGTGATTTAGGCATCTGGCTGTCTATGGTCACAAGCCCTCAACTGCTTAGTCGCGAGTTTGAGGATTACGTGGGGCCGTCACCAGGTATTTACCGCAGGTCGGTGATTTTTCTCTTTTCAAATGACCAAAACTGTTGATGTAAAGCACGAACAAAACAAATTTGTAGTAGTGACCACTTCCTTCTACATATACATTATGTACATCCTGACCATCTCAATGTTGATTTGATATTGGTTAACGCTTTACTGGTATTATTTGGTCTGGACACCACATGTAATTAAACCGTATCTTACATGTGAATCAGTACTACGTATCAGAGTCTATGTTGATGTTTGCAGCCCTAGGTTCTATGTACTCGCTATTTTTTACACGATCAAGGTCAATGCTGTTAATCAAATCGTGTCCGCCATCAGCACTTCATGAGTCAACAATTATATAAAGATCAATGTTGACCTCATGACCTCTCGCCTTGTATCACAATGTCGTTAATATGGTTACGTATTAAATGAACCAGATCAACCCCGTCATATTCGTACTTAACGTGTTGCATACGTAACTTGATACAGCCATAAGGCCATGTTAATCACCTGATATTCTAGACTTACCGAAAAGTAAGCTTGGTGAATTTTGTTCATCAAT